GGAAGGGTTTGGGATTTTTTTTGGTCACAACCTCGCCCAATTCTGTCAAGGTCAACAAGACTCACGATAAAATCAATGGGGTTTTGTCAACCAGGCAAACACAGTGACACCCCTTCCCCTCACCCTTTCACCTCCTGGGCTGTGAAAGCCAAAAGGCACCTCCAGCCATTTGTGGGAAGCTTTGCTACACCACTGAGGTGACACCAGTCTTCTCCAGTGGAGTGCTGTGGTTTGGTTTTTGTGGCTTCCTCATGGTAATGGGCTCCTCCTACCAGCTTTTGCAACCCTGTGAGGACAGAGCAGCTTTGGAGAAGACACTTGTGCAATTTTGCAGCACACTCCAGGTATGTTAAAGGAAGATGTCCAGCTCCAACCAGTTCTGGACTATGAAGCTCTACTGGCCAGGCTAGGGAAGGGTCAGCATACAGTTACTAACACAGACCTCCACTTCCTAGCAATACTTTACAGATCACTGTTGTAGTCCTCAGACAACCTCATTCAACTAGTTCATCCCACTTTCCAGTAAAGCTCCATCACAGGTAAAGAGAATCATGTGCTGTTGGAAGACCCACAGGTCCCCAGAGCAGCTCTTAGCCATTACTCCCGTGCACTCAGAGGAGTCAAGGATTCAGCAGCCTCAGGTATCTCATGATATAAAACACTGGGGCCAAGTTTGGATGGATTTGTGTCCTTTCATACCATTTTAAGGTGCACAGTGGGAGTGCACATGGAGTTTTTTTCTTAAAAACATAAAGCAGAAAAATCTTCTCAGCTCTGATGTTGTCTGTGTGTTCACAAAGGGATGTGGTCAATGGCTTTCTCCTGCAATAAATACTAGTTTAATATGACTGATGGTGTATATACCTTCTGGTTAGGTGCTGTATTATTCTCTGCTTGCTATGGAGCTGTTGTAGTCCCCACTCTCACCTTTGTAACTACTGACTTTGGAAAGGTTTTGACTTATGTTTAATGACTGGTCAAAATATTCCCATTATAATTATCTCTATAAAGCAAAATAATACTTTTCAAAGAGCACTGTACCTTTGGAGAAGACAATAACTCCAAGATTAAAAATGCCTAAGGAGGCTCTGCTGAGCTGTGCTGGCTGGGAAGGAGGCCTACACAGCTGCTGCCCTTGTTGGGTCACTAGGGACATGCACCATTTCATCAGGTGGGGATAGAAAGAAGGGAGTTCTAGCTTCCCTCGCTTCCTCATGACATTCACACCTGCGTGTAAACACCTCTGATGTCCCTGGGATGCTGTTCTTCTTCCCTCTGCTCCTCAGTCCTTCCTTGGTTCGTGTTCATGGTCTTCCAGACACCTCAGCTGGTCTTTTCCCCATGTTCTCTGCCAGTCCATTCCCTTCAAGGATGCAAACCCCAGTGGTCCCCTGGCAGATGAGGTCTCACTCTGGTTTTTCTGTGTGTCTCTCACAGGCCCAGTGGATTGTGTGAGTGCTGCCATTTTGTGTGATGTCCGGTGTGTCCTCCTGGCTGCAGCTGGGCACCACACAGGCAGAGACAGAGGATGACTTCGGCAGATTTTGGAAAGGCGCCCGAGGCCTGCTGTGACGCTGCTCGTGCCTCTGTGGGAGCCCACAGCAGCACGTGTTGACACTGAACCCGACCACAGGAAGATCAGGAAATGCAAGAATGCCTGTTGTTGAAGGAAGCTGGACTTGGCCTTTGCACAACTTTGCTGAGCTGTGCAACCAAGGCCCGTGAAAGAAGCATTTCCTGCTGCAGCAACATCACCCATTGCCCTCCCTACGCATCACCTTGTGTGGGTCATTTCGGGTTTGTTTTCTGATGAAAGCCCCAGCTGCACCTTCTGCAAGCAGTTTCTGGCTGATTCACTCAAAGGAAAACTTTGTCCTTGGTGGAAACACCCTGCCAAGTGGGAGGGATGCACTCCCTCCTGAGGATCTGCTTCCTTCAGCAATCTAGCTGCGCCGGCAGCACGAGGCCAAAAAAAATAAGCACAACCCTCCCCTCAACTAGGTCTCAGCAACTGCAGAATAACATGGGGACCACACTTGTCTTCCTCAGCATTTAGTGAAGAGGGAGAGTGTTCCCCCCATTCCTCCACCTGTGCCGTTCCCTGTACTCCTCAAGGCAAAGAGGCAAAATTTAAGCCTGAAGCTTCTTTCCAGAGATTCTCTTTTCCTACTTCACTCCTGTGCCTCTGAGTGCTTCTTGGGGAAAAAAAAAATCACGTTCCTTCTTGGCACACGCATGTACCACACTGGAGTCACTTTTGCCACTGGCAATGGTCACACACAGAATGTGTCCTTCGGTGACTGGTAACAACTCAAAAGCACCATGTGCCAGCCGGGGCTTATCGGCAGTGAAACACTGCTGTGTCTTGGGGTTGGGTGAAAGCTTCATTCTTCAGCAGCTTTCTAAAAAGATCAGGTTTCTGGAGGTGATGACGCAGGCAGCAGTGGGGGGACAGTGGAAGAACAGCTCTGCAAGGGCTGGGGTGAACATGTTCCCGGCTCTGTTTGAATTGGAGCCTCGCCACAGAAACCAAAGGAAAAAGTGCAAGATTTTGGAGGCGGCTAACCTTGGCCACAGCCTGCTGCTGGGCTGGTGCCTTGTGCTCTGGCAGAGGAACATGTGGGGTGGAAAGACCTGTCTGTCCCTCTGTGACCATGGTGTCAGCCTTGCCCCTTACACCCGCTGGGGCCATGGGCAGTGCTGGGGCCGCCGCCATGTGAGCAGGGAGCAGGTGGCATTGGCAGGAAAACTCCCCAGGGATGCCAAGGACTCAGCAGGTCCTGGCCCCCCCCACCAGTGGTATTTTTCCACCTCTTGATCCTGGCATCTTGGCAAGTGCTGGGACACCGGGAGGCACCTGCTGTTGGTGGCGCCTGTGCCACGTGTTATTCAATCCCAGTAATCCCAAGTCTCTCGGAGGCTCTGGGGTAGCGGGAGATGCTCTCCTGTTGGACCAAACTTGGGCTGTTTTGCTAGGTCTGTATTTTAAACACAGTCCAGGGAATGGCCTTTCATGCTTGCATAAGGCTTTCCTCTGGGACCCAGCCCCCTCCCTCTCCTCAAACAGCCCGATTCAAGTCAGAAACTACTGCTGTCACAGACTAAAAAGCCCAAGGCTCACGCATGGCTTTTTCTACCCAAGCTGTCTCCTCCTTTCAGGTAGGAGCCCGCCTGCTCGATGACTCAAGTTGCAAGTTTCCTTCTTAATAACGGAGTCCCCTGTGACGAGTGTCTAAACAACACCCCCACGCCCCTCGCTTTGGAGGTTTCGGGAGACAAGTCCCATCTTGCTGTGCCTTGCTGGAGCACGCTACTCAGGGATCGACTCATCCACTGTCCAAACACCTGGCAAACACTCCCACACCCAGGCACTACCCTGCACTGGCCCAACACGGAGCTTCAGCACCTCTTTCTCCTCTCTGAGGGGTGATGGAAGGCAGAGCCTGTCCCTGCACACAGCTTCCAGGCAGGGGTTTCAGCTCCCCCGACCTTCAGGTTCCCCGACACAGCACAGTGGCAAATACCTCGGGAGGAACAAGGCTATACTAAACCTCTTCCCTAATCCCTGCCCAGGCTGTGCAGCTATCAGCTGTAAACTAACTCCAGGCCCTACCTGTGCCCAAAAAGGGAAGAGCTCCATGCCTCCCTGCGTCACAGCCAAGCAAATGCAGGGCAAGGATCAGGAAGGCACATAGTCACCCTCGATTTTCCATTTCCAAAAACATGTCTAAGGGTAAGCGTTTGTGCGTGCTTTAGATAAATGATTACAAGGGGTTTGAGACACAAAGGGGAAAAAATAGTTTTGTTGCTTAGCACAGTGTGACAGTCACATGGCGCACAGCAGGCACAAGCAGCAGCCCAGCTCCCGGGGCTCACAAAGCCAAGGGCACAGTGAGCTCTTCCAGGAAGAAATTTAGGCTAGAGGGGCTGAGGGGGCATGGGTAAGGACACTAGTGGGAGTCAACTCCAGCACCGCATTTGATTTCCTCAAGGACATTCAGAGCGGCTCCCTTCAATAGCTTTTTAAGGAGGCAGCGTGGGGAGCTGCGAGCCACCCCTTGAGCAGGAGGCAGCAGGAGTGTGGTGGGGCTGGGGAAGCTGGGTCACACAGTCATTGGCACACAACGGGCAAGACAGGCATTTCAGCACCTTCCTCAGCAGAGGGGCCATCTCATCTTTTGCTAAAAAAGAGCTGCTCCCTACAACATAAATTCTGATTAAAGCTGAGCAGCGAGAGGTTAGAAAGAGAAAATCGGATCTTCATTGTTGCTGTGTACTCTCATATCCAGCCTTAAGCCCGCCCTGTTAGGGGAAGTCACCTTGGATGAACACCCACAGCAGGGAGGACAGGGCCCAAATGTCCACCTTGATGTTTCCTTAGCTTAGCAAGTACCCCAGATGTCCCAGGGTAAACTCAAATTGGTTTGCACAGAGGCGAAATGAATCAATTAAAAACCAGCACCCCCCTCCGCAGGAAGCAGTGCCTGGGGGAGCTTCATCTACTCTGTGCAGTGACTCCAGAGGGCTCCTAGCTTGGCCCCACAGGTGATGGCCCTGGCAAGATGCCACAGAATTGGGGTATTTTAGGAACTCTGCTGATTGACTGAAGGCCTCTGAAGCACCAGGCATCAAATGCATCCTGCTCCCTCCTCTACCCCCCGGAGAAGAGCCAGCTCCCCCACCCCGCCCCAGGGAGCTGAATCATGGCAGGAGCAGGGATGGCCAGGCACATCGCCACTTTTTCCTATGCGCTGCTATTCTTGGCAGCGGGAGAGGTCACTGAGACAGCTGCCCTGGCCATGTTGCACAAGCCTGGGCATCACCGAGCTATTCCTAACGCTACAAACCCTCTGCTGAGCACACCCCAAACCTGCGACCTTGCCTGCACAGGCCAACACCGAGCACCAGTTCATCCGAAGGCGGCCGCATCCCTCCTCACCCAAAACCAGGCAAACCACAGGTGTTCTCTCCCCACTGAGCACACACCACACAACAACCAGTTATTATATCATGCTTTTAATACAAACTTAAAAAAATCTGGAACAATAGAAACTGTACAGATTTGATCAACCTTTTTGTGGGTTTTTTTGTTTGTTTTTAACTAAATCTCTAGACACACCAATGTCCCGTTCCAAAATATTGCACAACATTCTGAATACAAAACTCTGATTGTATTCCTCCTTCGCTAAAGAAAAACAAAAAAAAAAAGAAGAAAAAAAAAAAGAAAGCAACCCTCTGGCTCCCCCTCTCAGTAGCCCCCTTCTCCAAGAGAAACCCAAGCAGAGCACACACAGAAACCCTCCACTTGGAGACATACAGACTTCTGTCCTCTTTCACTCCTCTCCCACAAGGCAACTGACAATTCACTCCTTGGAGAAGGGTGGGAGGAAAAGGAGGGAGGCTGAGTGGGGAGAAAGGACTCTTCACCACTTCTTTTTTTTTTTAAAGTTTTTTTCCTGAAAAAATATTTGTTTCTCTCCTCTTTTTAAGAAAAAATCTTGAAAAGAAAAAAATTACAGTTTTTTTACGTTAGAAATATACATATATTATATATACCTCTTACTTTTACAAATGTAGCAAATTATTCAATACAAACAGACATCAACAAAAAGAACACAAACCCATAAAAAATAAAAGTTAAAAAAAAAAAAACTTCTCTCTTCTCTCCCTAAGAAACCAGGTAAATTAGTGCAGGTTTTTAAAAAATAAAATTGAAGCTGAACGCCTACATCCAAGACTAGAAAAGACCTGAAAAGGCCGTTAGTTTCCATTGCTGCCTGATGCTGGAGGAACATTTCTGAAGCACGCTTTTTTCCTTTTAAGATACAAAGAGGTTGGTCCCTCCTCTTTTCCTCCTTCCACTCACACCACTATTTTTAAAGCAGGTATTATACGTGTGGCAGGGCAAAGCGGCATCAAAGCTTCACACACATAAGCAGGTGGCCAGGGGGTGTCCTCACCTCTCTTCTCTCTCCTTGTGCTGGAGGACAGCACACTGTCCCACGGCAGCGGCTCGCAGGAGGCTTTGCCAGATGTGGGGACAATGGGGGGCAACTGGACCAGGTCCTGCCATCAGGGGCTGAGCACCCCTCAAAGTCCAGTGCAGCGAGCAGGGTGCACCCAGCAGCACCGTGCCAGGGAGAGGGACTGGGTGGCAGTGGTAATGTCTGTAAGTGAAGGGTTCAAAAAACAAAAAAGGGAAACCCAACAGCTGGGCCATTCCTCAGCAAGTCCTCCAAGTCTGGAAACCTGCAGGTTGAGGCTGTGGGGCTGGTTGGGCTTCGCTCTCCTTGCCCACCTGCTGTGTTGGTCACAGCTCAATGGCAAGCAGCTTGTTTGGGAATCCATGCTGGGCACGAGGTCAGGACCGTGCACCCCATCACCCGTGGAAGGGAAGGGTGCGCTGGAAACTCTCCTTGAAGAGCTTCGGGCAGTGGCAGTCCCCCTGGGACAGTCCATTACCTTCTGCAAAGGCTCATTGGCAATACAACTACAAAAAGGCTGGAGTGCCTCCATCTCAGCTCAAGGGAAGGGAGCAGGAAAAGCATGAGGCCAAGCTCATGTCACCTGAAACAGGGATTTCATGAAAGAGCACATTGGTTCCACAAGTGCAAGAGGAGTGGGTTTCAGAATGCGCTCCAGAAACATCATTAAAAGAAAACCAAAGCCCATGTCTGGGAGGCAGCAAAAAGCTTATTTTTCTTTTAAGCTGAGAACTTCCAAGACTGGAGTTTCATCACCTCCATCTCTCTCCTCTGCAAACTTCCACGCTCACACAACAGGCTCCAAGGAGACCTCCCTTCCCATCTAGAGCCTCCACCCTTCCTGGGCATGAAGCAGCCCTCCTTTGGCTTCCTGTGAAGGTGGCTTTCAGAGTCCTTGACACAGAAGCAACCAATCTGAGAAGCCACTACTGCCTGACTGCAGCACAACATCCTGGGGAAAGCTGCAGGGGCATTCCCAGATCCCAGCCCTGCTGTGAGGAGGCACCCTACATTCACATGCTGGGACAGCTGCTCGCCTTTGGAGCACCCGTCACAGCTCTGCTCTAAGCTTGCCTCTGTCCACGCTGATGTGATCTAGCTGGAATGAGGAATTTATGCTAGGTGCTGCTTTTTCTCACCAGATCAGCCACCTCCTCATGCTCCTCCAAAAGGGCAGGTGAAGGGATTTAGTCTGGTGCCTGCCTGGCTGAAAGTACAAACCCTTTATGCTACCACTCAAGACAGCAGCTTCACAACATCACCCTTTCTGTTCCTCAAGAGTTATGCTGCCTCACTAACTAAAAAGGAAGGAATTCCCTCTCACAGCCAAGTAGATGAATTCACAGCAGAGAATGAGAACTCTGACCTCAGAGGCCACTCCAAGTGGATGCTGGCCCTTGCTGCTGCGGAGAACATTTGGGAAGTGGGGGCAGGATCCAAGTGGGATCTGGCTGGTTCAGTGTCACCTCCTCCAAGTCAGAGGGACAGCTGGGTGGTGTTTCTACACCACAGGGTTGTCACCCAGACTGACCAGGCAGCCCTGAGAGAGCACAGAAAAGCCCCCTTGCTCGGGGTGCAGAAGGGGACAATAACCGGAGCCACTCAGCTCGAAGCACCGTACCCCTGTAGCTGCGGCTGGAAGCGCACATGAGGAAGGGAGCAGGAAGAAGCCATTTCACAGTAATGTTCTGCTCTGCCTGCGATGTGCTGGGAGATGGTCAAGGAGAAGAGTTAGTGCTTTCAGCACAGACAGAACAGCTGACGCCAGCTCGGGCTGGAGCCACAACAGCACAACGGTCTATGCCCGTGGGCACAGCGAGTAGATGCTCCCCGTCTACATGCAGAGCCGTAACAGAAGAAGCAAGCTCACCCACCCGTTCTGGCTGGCACGCAACAAGAGTGCATGTCTCCACCAACACTGACTCATCCTCTCCACGTCCCTCCTTCCAGCACGGTGGTATGAAGATGACATCCCCACACCCAGGTGGAAGGACCCTGTGTCCAGCGCGGGGCAGGGGGTGGTGCAGGGAATCAGAAGCACTGTGGCCTACAGTTGCACCAGATCCTGGGCTGGGGTAGGGAAAGGGGGAACACAAACCAAAAAAATCCCAAAACTCATTTTAAGGAGTAAAAAAGTGAGTAGGAAAAAAGCACAGGGACTGAGTTAAAAAACAATTCAGTGCTTCAGGAGCGTTGCCAGCACAGCGCAACAACACTGAGCTCTCTCTTTTCCCAAGAACCTATATTTATAAGATTTTAATATTTTCTGTATATTTCTATTTTTCTTTTCTTTTCTCTCCCTCTTTTTTGTTTGCTTTGTTCTTGTTTCCCCCCTCCCTCCCTGCCCCAAAATACTCTCCTTCCTTTGTGTTCAGTTGGCCAGGACGACGGGCTGGAACGACTGGCTGGGATACTGCATGGCATTCAGGTTGTAGCTGAGTCCTTCCACAAAGGGAGACTTCTCCAAAAAGAGGCTATTGGTGCTGCCACCGAAGACCTGAGCCATATCAAAGGTACCACCTGTGCTGGTGTTGAACTGCGATGCTGGCGGGATGCTGCTGGCCTGGCTCTCACTGGCAACACCATCGAAGAAGAGGCTGCTGGCTCCTGGTGACCCGCCGCTGTAAACGAACTCCTTGGCATTGGGGGAAAGCTGTGACTGCGGGGCTTGGCTCCCAGCGCTCCCGACGAAGTTCAGAGAGTGCATAGACAGGGAGAGGCCCTTGTGCTTCAGCAGGTTGGTGGTGGGAGACCTGACCATTCTTGGCTGCTGCACAGCCCCTGCTCCGCCGCCCCCTCCTCCGGCTCCTCCGCCCTTCTTCATCTTGGTGGAGCCGAACTTGGTGGCAGCAAAGGTGGCAGTGGTGAAAGTGATGGGCTGCGCAGAGCGAGGGATGAAGGTCGGGCTGGGTGACTGGCCAAAGGAGGGGGATGGAGAGTTGGACTGCGAGTTGTCCTGGCTGCCGATGGGAACAAATACCTGGGCATCGGGGTTGAAGCTGCTCTTGATTTCTTTGTCCAGCTCTGCGGCGCTACAGCCCTCACTGTCATCCAGGTAGAGGACCTTAACAGTGCCCTTCTCACCAATCTGGTAGGAAACCTCAAAAGGATCAATCCAGACACTCAGCTCTTCTGGCACGTTGGCACGCACATCCTCCACAGCCAGCCCACTCCGCTTGGCCGCCAGCTCCACCACCGGATCCACCGTCTCCCCTATATGAACACAGCGATAGCCAGATCCCTTCAGAGGCTTCTCTGGGTACCAGTGGCCCTCATACTTCTTCTTCAGCAGGCGTTCTAGCTCCTCACCAAACAGGTCTGCCCGCCTCCGAGGAAGCTTGTTGTACAGGTATGAGATGATGAAGTTAAGAGCAACTTTGATCTCTAGATGCATACTCTCTTCGCAGCAAGCAAGTCAGGGCAGTGTATTAAAAGTGACAAAGTGACAGGAACATAGACGAGATTTGGCTCCAAACAGACCTAAGGAAAGAGAGAAAAGACTGGATGAAGACTAGAGAACACAACAGCTCTCCACCTGTTGAGACAAAACAACCGTGAACAAACTGTGAACCTTTTCCATAAACAAAAGCAGAACGAGTACTTTGCACAAATACTAACATTAAGTAAAGCTCTCTAGGAGAGTAACCACAAATCTACTGGTCCTCAAAACAGAGGGATTCTTGTAGGGAGGAACCTCCCTGCTGCTCTTTCAGAAGAAATAAGGGTATAGCTACTACGCGCACACAGGTACGTACACTGCACTCCCCTCACTGCCAAGCACTGCTGCTGAAACCCAGCAGGCAACTGTCTACTCTGGCAGAGCTATTTCAGCACATCTAACGCGCCTCTCTGTGCCCTGGCACTCAGCTGCTTCCAGCACGGCTCACCTGCACCAGCCTCTCCAGAACACAAGCACAGCACCTGAACAGCCTCGTGACTCACTCGGCAGCCTGTGCAGAGACTTGCTTGTGCTCAGGACAGCAGGGCCAGCCTCTCCTCCGGGAGGCCGGGTGGTTGTGCCGGGTGCCACGTCCTGCTGGCACAAGCACAGAAGGGAGGAGAAGGAGCGAGGGAGGGTGCTGAGGCACCAGCTGCCGGCCCGTGTTTACTATCCCTTTGACTGGCAGGCACATATCTTATTAAGTGTACCCAGATAAGATTCTGCCTAGCTATAAGCCTAAAATCTCAGTTTAATTCATCTGGGGGGGAGAGTGGGACAGGAAATGTGTGTGGGGTTACAAAATGCATGCCAACAGCCTGTCTAATACAGTTCACATCGCTTATCCCTGCACAGCGGGAAGATGAGCAGCTCTGCCAGGATCAGGTACCTACTTAATAAAAACTGAAATTGCTTGCCAAAGATTGAAATAATCCTCCCTCTCTCCCTCCCTTGTGAGGAAGTCTCTGAAATGGAGAGAACCTAGAAAAGCGCAACGCAAAACCACAACACTCAACTCTCCCATTATACACAGAGTTGCAAACAATGCGTTTGTCTGAGTATTAAGAAAACCCCAGGTAGGTCAGCATTACGCTCTGTCACTCATCCAAAGAAGATGAATCCCTCAGATATTTTAAGAGGAAGCACACTTCCAGTAGCCTCCACACCTCTCTAGAGGGAAGAAGAATATCCAGTTTTTAATTGGCAGCTTAGTCAGAGGCCGCTCTGTCTTCAGCTGCCCTCACCTTGCTCAAACAGGCACACCGCATTCAACTGTCTTCCTAAAATGGGCTTTGAGGATGCTCTCATGCAGCTCTAAAGCCAATGTTTACAACATGTGCTAATTATTTGGGGGTGGGGATGGAGTACAAACATATGTTGTCAGCATTCCCCTGAAAAACTGGGAATCACAGCAGCACAGCCAGGTATCCACCCCGGCCTAGGTCAGAAGAAAGGAAAAAAAGGCCTGACCAGACTTGTTTGCTTGGTCTAGCTTAGAGGACAGAAAGGTTAAATAAATTTTAAAGAAACCCTCAAGTATTTTGAGGCTTTATTGCAAAACAAGGGGTGTGAATTCTATGCTTTTTCTTTACTAGTCTGAATTCACAGAGGCTTAGCTTTAGGATGATGGTAACCAGAAACAGATCCCACACTTCAAGTCCTCCAACAAGAAGAACAGTTCTGGAAGGAATGCCCTCTGGATTTGACTCAGTAACAAGAAAAAACAAAAACGATGGAGTGGGAAAGAAGTCTCACCTTTAAAACCTGCTTTAAGGAATTATTGTAATGTAACAAACTGTGGTAGATCACTAAGACTTGATCAAGTAAAAGGAGATGAGCATCAAAGAAATAAGCAAACGGAGTTTTTTGGAAAACAGTGTGGAGAAGCCATTTTCAGAAGGCAAGAGTCTCAGCACAGAGACGGAGCCTTTTCTACAGAGACGGAGCCTTTTCTACAAAAATAGCATAAAGCAACCCCCTGAAAGAGCACACCTAAACCCTAACAAGAGCTTATGCAGCCCATACTACCTCAAGGAGGGATTATATGGAGCCCTCTCGCGTCTTTGGCTTTGACATTCAAAAGAAAGTACAGCTTGAGATCTCAGCAAATTAAGCAGGGAGAGAACAGCCAATTTGTAAATCTTTTAATCTCATGATAAATTCTAATCCAGATCCAAGATCTATTAAGAAATCAGAAATTACAGACTGGGAAAACAGCAATAGCCAAAATTTGTTACCATCCTATTTGCAACACAAATGTTTCAATATACACTGATGAGCCCAGATCCTCATCAAGCTTCTGCAGAAAGCAGCGAGGAGGTACAATTATAAATCATTACCTCCTTTTTTCTTTATGAAGTAGTCCCCTTCTTAAAAGGCTGTACTCCGTACCTTGTTTATTAAGAAAAGGATAACTTAATTAGCCTAATAACACCAAGAGCTGCCAAAGTAGTGGCATTACGACTGATACCTGCTGAGGGTACAAAAAGTCACTGGCTCTTCAGGTTGTTGACAGGGTAAGATGTGCTCCAGCAGGATTCCCTCAGTCTCTTTCTACTGCACTGAAATACGATAAAATAATAATAAAATTTTTAAAGAAAATAACCGACAACAAAAAACAGATGCAGCAGCACGGTTCTGTGACAAAAAACGACTAAATATCAGTTGTCAGAGGTATTCTGAGCAGTCTTCCATGAAGGCCAGGATTTTCAAACTAAAGGCTCACTGTACATGGGCAGAACATCGAGGTGCCGGCAGGGAACAAAGAGCTGTTCCTCTGCTCTGCGGAGGGAACGCAGGAGCCCCTTCAGACCCCCCGGTTTATCTGCGTGCCAAAGGAGAGCGGCCAAACCATCACTTGCATCAGGGGAGAGAGCGAGCACGGGAACGATGCCCTCTCCTTCTGGCTACGCCAACACGGCGGGTGACCTTGCAGGTATCCCTCCGAGCTCCCGAGGGAGCTCCGGCTCCGGGAACGGGCTGGCCGCCGCCTCGGGACTCGAGCAGATGTCCCGGCGGGCCTGAGGCCCCACGGCCGGACACGCCCGTCTGGCATGAGGACCCCCTTCCCAGCACCCCCCGCCGCCAGACAAGCCGCCCCGCGGGGACGAGCCCGGCCGCCCCCTCCGTCCCTGCCCGGTATCGCGGCCATCCCCGGTGCCCCGGCTGGCCCCGGCTCGCCGGGAGCTGTAGTTCCTCACCGCCCCTCCCCGCCCCGCGACCTACTTCTCCCGGACTGCGGCTCCCGGCGCGCCCCGCGCCCGGCCCGGCGCGTCCCTCGGCGGGGCAGGGCACAAAATTTTCCAGGGCACATGCGCGCTGGGTGCCGCCCGCCCTTCCCGGCGCTGCCCACGGCCGGGAACACGCCCCGCGGCCCGGGACCGCCGGGCAACCGCCCCCTTCTCCCCTTCCCTTCCCCTCTCGGCACGGACGGACGGGCGCGTCCCCACCCCGCAGCTGCGACCCCCCCGTCCACTGCTGTGGGACGGAGCCTAGGAGGCCACAAGCATGTCCTTCGTTCCCCCGCCTCCCCCCACCCGCTGCCTGTCCCCGTCCCCCCGGTGGGGCACGCGGGGTCGCAGACACGGTCCCCGACAGAACGTTCAGATGGAAGGAGACACGTCCCCAAGGGCAAGCTCCTGGCCCCGCACACGCGGCAGGGCACCGTGGATCGGGATGTCCGGGGGGATGGGGATATGGGGGGGTCGGCCCAGCCCAGCCCCGGCAGCGTCTTTGTTGTCGCCGGGCTTCTCCCGCTGGAGCTCGCGGGAGCTGCATTCGCCGTGCGGGAAGAGGGACACCCCGGAGACATCCCCCGGCAGCCCAGGGTGCCGCCGCCGCCCCCGGGCCCAGCCTGCCCTTTTCGGGGCCGCTGGGGCTGAGCCGCATCCCCCCCTAGCTCAAAGTGGGGTGAAGGGAACAAAATGGTCAACTGCGGCACTTCCAAGCGTCCCCTACCCAATGACTTTCATCCTCACCCCCCCTCCCCTGAAGCCCCATTAATCCCCCCGGGGGCCGCAGCCGCACGGTGACTCCATGGACGGACAAATCGCCTGCCCCGGGCGGGGAGGGAGTTGGGGGGGCGATCAGCCCCCTCAGGCCGAGCCCTCAGAGGGGACGCGGCCTGGGGAGCCCCGACCCGAGAAGGGGTGTGGGGGAGGGACGCACCCCCGGCCCCACTTACTTCGTCCTCGGCTCCAGGGCCGGTGACTGCTGGCGGCTGTCGGGGGGCCGTAGGCGCTGCCGTCGGGTCTCTGCTCTGCTCCGTCCCGTCCGTCTCCTCCCTGCCTTGTCCCCGGCGGCGCAGGGCGGGCCCGGTGCTGCGGTGGTGATGGTGGCGGTGCGCTGTCCCCGGAGCCGCCCGCGCCCTGGCCCCGAGTGAGCCAACTCACGGCAAACTTTCACCCTTAGCAACCCCTCGGCGCACGGATCCGCTCCCGCCCCGTGTGATGCGGCCGCAGGGGGCGGGCCGGGACTACTTCCCCCTCCCGCCGCCTCCCGCAGCGCCCCGGGACGGGCGGGGGGGCCGGACCTGCCTGTGCTGCCCCCGGCCACGGGGGTGTCCCGGCTCCGAGCGCGGGGGAAGCAAGGAAGGGGACGGATGGTAGATTAGCGGGGATTGACCTGAGGATTTCCCCAAGCGGCTTAGCCCGAGGCGGGGCGGGGGGGGGCTCGGCTGGGCCATGGAACGGAGCGAGGAGAGACAGGACCGTCCGGCGTGTTCCCCGCCCCCACGCACCACGGGCGCTGTCAGGCCCCGGCTCAGTGTCGGGGCCGGCCCCGGGGCTCCCCAGGGGACAATTCCGTGCACGGGGACAATTTCCCGCACAGCCCCCGCCCACATCTGCAAAACACCCCGTGGTGGAGCCCCAGCCCCGCTATAGCGGGAGAGCTCGGGAAGAGGTTCCCCACGGGTAACCCCGGCTCCCTCGGTCGCTGCAAATCCCTTGGGACCCCCGGACCCCGGCAGGGGCGAGAAGTCTGGGGGGGCTGCGGACCCATCTCCACCGGGGACAACGGGACAAGGCCAAGCCCGGCACGCCGGTAGAGTCACCCCGGGGAGGGCAGGAGCTGCACGGCCACCTCCGCGGCCCCGCCCCCCGGCACACGGACTACTTTGTCACCGCACGCCCGTGTGCCTCCGCCCCCAGCGGAGGAGGACAGGCCCGGCCACGGCGGAGACGAGAGACCCGCAAGGTACGCGAGCGCCGGCCGTGCTAAAAATAACTGCGGCGTGTTAGCAACAGCCTCCCCATTGGCTGGCCGGGCCCGGCGGCGCCTCCGGATTGGAGCGCTGCCTCAGCCAGTGAGCCCGGGGGGGTGTGCGCGGGGGCGGTGCCGGCGCGGCGCGGCGGCCGCCGGGAGATGTAGTGGCCGGGGCGGCCGCGGCGTGTCCCGGCTGTCCGCGGTGACCCCGAACCGTACGGCGGGGTGTTCGCAGGCTCGGGGTTACGTGGGGCCCTGGGGGAGGATGGCCGTGGCGACGGACAGTCCCGGGGCCAGGGGCCAATGGCGGGCACCTACACCCCCAAAGGCTGAGCCACAGCCGCCCCCTGGCACGCTGAAGGCACTCAGTCCCACACACAGCTCTGCACCCTGTATTTTAAATCAGACCCATTACTAGTTCCAGGAAAATGAAGAAAATGCCTAAGGGCACCCCCAGAACGCGTATTTTACAGTCCAAGGTCATACCACCTTGCGCACACACCACTTGAAAAGGGTCCTGGTTGTCCACACTCAAGGCAGCATTTGATCAAAGTAGAACTCCAAACCAGGGGAAGGGACACCAAGAACAGCGTTTCCAGGCTCTTTCAGTGCTGACAAAGCAGAGGGGGAGGGAGAACCGGTCTTGGTGACCCAAGCATTACCACAGTCCCTGTTGCAACAGGGGTTGCTGGCCTGACAACCATCTCCCAAGTGCAAAAATGCAAAGTATTTCTCTTGTCCCCTTACCACAATGGGCCTCAGCATCCTTCTCGGTTTGGTTAGTCCTCACTCACTCAGGACCCCTTTACCTTTGCCACAGAAGAGTACTTCTTGAGGCCAGCCAATGCCACGCATTAAGAAATCTGTTAAAGCTCCTTCCCAGCCACAGCACTACAGCAGCCAGCTTTACTCATTTTCCCACTGATTAAAGGAAAAAAACCAACAACTTTTCAAGTGTTTTGGTTGGTTTGTTTTGGTTTTGGGTGTTTTTTTTTTCTGCAGTGGAAGGGAGAAGGGGAAGATTTATGAGAGCTATTATGAGCAGCCTTATTTTTCATCACTCTTACTTTAAGAGGAATTTAGTTACAAAAGAACACATCTCTTTTTTTCTATTATTCCCTTGCTTTGCTGGAAACAAAATCATGCTGTCAGCCAGAGACCAGGAAATCAAAATGACTGAGCTATTTTTAGCATCATTAAGCAAAAAAAAAAAAAAAAAAATTACATTTCTAAAATTCTTTTACTGTTTTAATAAGGTGTTACTAAGAGGGTGTCACACAGTAGGGCTCTTTAAAATACCTGCGCCTTGACCGTGCTCCTTTAATTATGGCGTTGTCCTGGTACACATGCAGGCAGAGGAATTCTGTCACAGGATCTGCTCCCACATTCCCTGCCATTTGGCTATTACGTCAAAGCAAAGCTACGGCGTCATGTGCGCACAGGGAGGGAAGGAATTGCCAAGCCGCCGGCCAGAGCCCGTTTGGTTGGGTTATTTAATGCCAAGGAAGGGCAGTCAGATTATAATTGGGCATAATTAACACTGCCGTACCCTGAATCCTCTGCACGTTCAAGTCACATGACAATCCCAAGGAAATGAAAAACTCTTTCCTGCTGTTGGAAAAGGCAAACATCTCCAGCTGATGCCCATTATGAGAAAATAACAGCTCCTGTGCAGAGAAGGTTTCAGAAGCAAGATTTTGTCCACACAGCTCCTGCACGGAAAGCTCACAGGCAGACTTCAGGCCTTCACCTACCTTTTTTTTGGTTTGGTTTGGTTTTTTTAAAGAAAAGTAACGCTTGGGGCTCAAAGGCTTGTCAAGACAAGGTCTAGGTGATTCAAAGGACTGGAAGCGTGTTACGGAGCTATTTGCTGAGCTCAGCGGTAGCTGTGGCTGGCAGTCGGTCTGAAGGGGTGTGTAACAAGGAACACCTACATTTCAGAACACACTTGTTAGCACTGGCAACAGTGGCAAATTACTTAATAGGCCAAGAGGTCCCATGTTCTCTCCTTCAGTGTAAATATTTGAAATTAAGGGATTTTTTTTACTTATTACACAACATCCTTTCGATTGACAAAAATAACCCTACCTAGAAAAGTAACAGCAAGAAGATACATTTAGCTCCATTAGGATTGGCAAGCAGCAGCACCATGGGAGTTCAGCTGCCACATTGACAAAGTGGTCCCTGTTCCTCCCACCATTCCCTGCAGTTGCCATGCAAGTGCTTCGCAGCTGGCAGCCAGGGAGCCCCTGAATCTGGCAGCTTAAGACTCCATGGTCTGATGAAGCCCTCCCAGAGCTTGGCCTGCACACAGCAGGATGTGTCTCGTCTCATACCCCCCCTGAGGGGAAGCTCGCCCTTTTAGCATGTGCTCTGGTCTCCAGTACTGCAAGGCAATCTCCTTCTCCTGGACAAGTACTTTAAAATCTATTGAGGTAAAAAAATACTGCACTTTTCTAGGTGCCCTGCCTGGCTATCATTTACTGGTGAACATAAACCATTACCAAGCAAGCAAGGCTGTGTTTTTCAGGGCTACTGAAATGTATCCATTACCCTTGTCTGAATTAGCAGCTTCAGGGCAATGTCCCATCCATGCTCTGAAAGTACCAGGAAGGCAACGGCGCTGAACTGATCTGAGCACCAGCAGCACTTGGCATTCTCCCCAGAGCTGTCTGAGCAAACAAGGCAAAGGGGAAAAAGCCTGTCCCTCCCTCTCTCCACCTGCCCAGTGACTCAGAACAACTAGAAATGGCAGCTTAACTCTCAGAACGGAGACCGATATATCCAGCAGTCAGCGTGAGGGCATCAGGAGTGCCAAGAAAGTAAGTATGCTTAGCTGTTTTTGGGAATGGGGGAAGGGATGGGGAAACTTGTATCTCTATAGCAACCCCTGCCTGGCTGATCCTGCTAAATGATTAGGAACAAGGGCTGCTCTGAAATTAGCTCTTCTAGGGGTCCCTGCACTAGGGGACAAAAAAATAATTCCTAACTTCATTTCTCACTACCTTCACCAAAAAACTTGTGTCATCTGAAACTTCCAGGAAAGAAAAAAAGTACGTACAAACCCGCATTCCTAGTGCGATAATTTGGGTGGCCTGACTGAGGGCAAGTGATAAATTCTGGTTGAAGTGATAAAGTTCCAGGTACAAAAAATCTGCATGTCCTGCCCTGCTTTTAAAGAAATACAGAATTTAACACAGCTGATAATGGCTCTGACATGGACTTCCCAGTCGGGAGCAAGAGGCAGTTACTTTTTCAGGTAGAACTACCTTGAGACAGTGGGATTGCTGTAATCAAAGAGCCAGATTGCTCTGAATCTCTTGGCAAATGGCATCCACATTCGTAAAAAATTAACAAGAAGCTGTGTAGGGGAACCATGGTGCAGGGAAGAAGACGTACAGATACGCTCAGGACTGCAAAACGCTTGGAAGAGAAACCTGACAGAATTAATAGCTGGGGGCAGGAGAGGGAGGAGCAGCTGAGATAGCTGCAGGGCCAGTCATAGCTAAAGCTGTCTGCAGCAGGGAAAAATGACTTTAAAGGGAAGGATGATCACAACTTATCTGCACATTTTCACTCTTACATGAAACACCTATATAGTTAGAGCAGGTAATAGAGGCATTTAAGTCAGAGAGGAGTTAAAGGAATTTGTACTGGCCTCAGGGGAACAGCTGAAATCCTGGAAGAGGCACAGAACGAGCTCTGTACCCCAAGACCACGCAAAGACAACCCTGTTACTGTAGCTCACACTGCTCAGACTAGGAGGACTTTAAAGGCTACAGGGCACACTGAGCTATGACCATAATTTAACCATCTGAGGAGTGTACACACCCACAGGGAGCTCAGTTCCGCTTCTGCACAAAGGCGCCCATTTCCAGATCTCTGCTGAGCCAACAGACTGCTTTTAGCCTGTACTGGTATTTGACAAACAAGCAGCCTCTGGTTTCCAGCACGCACACGGCCAATAGCCCAGAACACAATAGTTGGTTTCCCATTACAGCAGGGAAGGCTTTAACTTATTCACAAGAACAGGATAGCGAGTCAAATAGCTTAGTAGGTTTTAGAAAGGGATTGGATGTTTGCATGGTGAAACAACATCCACAGCCGTATTAGCTAGGATAAGGGTTACAAGCTCAGCGATCCTCATGCTACAGGACAAAATGATCAGTGGCCGGGATCACAGGCAGACAAAAGCGATAGCCGTTCCCTGAAGCTCCTTGCAGCAAGGTCACGTGGCCATAAGCAGACACTGTCAGAAACCAGATAACCCATTGTGCAGGACTAGCTGGGCTAATCCTGCGTGTCCCCAGAAAGCTCCAGAGAGGCTAGGCACAGAATGAACCAGAGAGAAATCCTTGTTGTACAAAAAATAAAAACCCAAACGAAAAGCTTTATTGGTACGCATCCTACAGAAATGGTTACAAGAAGGGGCCTTGGATTAATCTGACAAAAAAAACATGGAACAGCTGTGCTCTCCCTAGGAAGGCACCAGCCATGAGCAGGTTCCTTACAAAACAGGGCAGCATGGAAATATACTGGAGGAATGGAGGAGGGGAGCAGACACATGGGATTGGTGCTCTGTTCTTCAACACTGATGCATGGGGCAATTTCAAATAGCCCAGTAAGAACAACCGCAAGATCTTTCTCCACACCTGAAACGACACTTGCTTTTTACTGAGCTGGTTTCCTCCGTCTGCAAGTGCTTGCCCACCAGGCTTTGTAAAGAGAGTTGAGGCAACTACTTGCAGAGCTTCTGCAAAGGCAAGAGACAGTAATCCTCATCTGCTCTTGCTGATGGTTGGTTCTGATCAGGTTTCAGCGTCATTCAGTCTGTTACTTCTCCAGCCCCAAGTATATTACTGAATCTGTACTGCTTTAGAAAAACATAATCAACCGGTTTCCAATAATAGTAAAGTCCAGAGATGTTCCAAGACCCTCTTGCCAACCTGGCAGGAGGTATAACCATGTACAGATAGGATCACCTCTTCTTGAAGCCATACTTTTTCCTTTCATAGAAAAGATCTGTCTTGGAACTGCCCAGGTTGACGATCTTAGGGCAACCATCTCTCTGTAAGAAGAGAAGATGTAGGTTAGGAGATGGGTGAACACAGAACAATGTCATCACTTGCACAGTTCTAGTAGGTTCTCAGTTCCCACGCTCCTCGCCCTGTCCTCAACACATATTTCAAACACTTGTGCAGACAAACTGCCCTCCAGTGCTGGTTACCAGTAAGACAGTGGAACAGAGAAGAGTATGGATGCCTTTTCAGGACTACTCTAGGACATTCTCTTCCTCAAAGCTGAGATGGAAAACAGCTCATCTAACATCAGCAGTTTAATGAAAAGGATGCTCAGTGCCTCAAGACTGAATTCTTTCTAAATTAGGATACACAGGATTTATAGGGCCCAGAGGAATAACCTTTCCCCTCCTTAGTCAAAAAGAATCTTGCTGCTTTAGATGTCACCAAGCCATTCTTGTGTATAGGAGCTCCTCTCAGCTGTGACAGCAGAACTGAATCTCAGATTTCCCGGATCAATTACTGCAGAGGCTGTATGGTCATCTTGGGAGAGGACAGCTGCCCACAGCAGCTACACAGATAAGTTTTTGTACCTGAATTCCAGTAGATTATGAGAAAAAAAGCCACAAGAAAAGCAAGGGGAGGGGGGGGACGACCCACCTCAGAGGTGTGGTTGAAAAAACAAATTCAGAGCTGCACCTCTTCATGTACTAGGGAACATTTGTCCATGGGCCACCTGAGCCCAGCATCTGCATAATTCTTAAAAGCAAAATGTTTTTTCACAGCAGCTGTGAGGGGCCCAGCAGGCAGAGGAATGTGTATCCTTGGCTGATGTGTAAGCCTGAGTGCATTAGATTTAGAAAGCCTCTGGGCAGATGTCAGATGCTGTGGAATCTGCACCCAAGCTGTCCAGCTCCGGTGCCGGAGATATAATCTGCTGGGGAGGGTCTGCATGGTAGAAATATCAGGAGAGGTGGGGAACAGAAATCATCCTTCCCCCACACACCTAGAAATGCCACAACCCCTTTCTAGCTACTGTCTCCTTATTTGATTTTGAACCTCAATAGTAGGACTCTTCCAAGCCTTGTCTCCCACGATCCAGGGAATCTGTGACAATCTTGGCAGCATTATTGCAGGGCTATGTTCGTTCTTCCACCTCCTCCTAAGAAGGCAGCACGTGAGCATGCTCCTGTCCCCAAGAAAAGATTACTTTTTGCAACTCACAGGTATACTGGGTGACAAGGTGGGATTCTGGCCCTTACCACAGACTGAATCAGCTCTTCATCCCTCTCTTCACCAGAACCAATGAATCGAGAGTAACCAGGCCCTCTGCCTGGTGCCCAGTAGCATTCCACCTCCTCCCTTCATTTCTGTATTTGCTTTCTTGCTTCACTATCTTCTTCAGTCTTTCTCTGAGAATGATGGAAGTGCTGTGGCTGAAACTTTGGACAGTAAAAGCTTCAGGTAGAGAGATCTTCCCCTGTTTTTCTCATTCACGTCAGCACCAGATACCATATTTGTGACAGGCAGCAGCACAAGCAGCCCCTTTCTGGGTACCCTACACTTGTGCCAGCACTTTTCAATCCCACAACTCAATCATGTCAAATCTGCTGTTTCAGATCTGCAGCAATACCTAACATTTGAGTTTGCTGCTACAGATCAACTGTCTTTGCTCACAGCAACCTTCACCCAGGTGTCAAAATACTCCAGACCTGTAATTCTCCTCTAGCTCTGTTTTCTACAGTTCTCCCTTGCAGAGCAGCTGGCTATTTCACACCTGAACCAGACATGATAAGCTACAGGTGAGCTTAGGTTATGAAAAACACCTGTTGGAAATCCATATGAATTGATAAAAATAAAACCAAGCCTATTTTACTCATGACTTATGAAGCCAGGTGTCTTTGTTCCAAAGTCAAGTCAAGAAAACTACTGGTTCTCGCTGCATTTCTAAAGTAGGAGGCAGCACCACCATCACGGCACTTATATCCATGTTCAGGTATGGAAAAGATTATGGTCCTGTCAGATCTAATGACTAAATTCAAATGAAGACCTGCCCCTGTCCTGGATTTAGCTGAAGGCCTCTAGAGAATACACAGGCACTGCAGAGAATTAAACCAGCAACTCAGTCAGCTGAGGACATTCCTGTAAATCAGTTTGAACCATTCTCTCAGCACATCTGTCATTAGGGTGTGCATGAAATGACATCTGCAAAGCACCAAAACTGAAACAGCCTTTAACAGACACTTTAACAGTCATCAGGCCCATGTTTTGGGAATATTGGAACTGCAAATGTCATGTTCTTGCTCTTCCCTGAGGTCTTTCTAATACTTCATTGCAGTTCTTCATGGCCTGCACTCCTTGTGTTGGATTATTAACAAAAGCCCTAGAAGAGGTGAACAGCTGCCTCATTTCACATGTGCAGTGCCTATCTTTCAGCACAAGATTATAAAAAGATTATAGCAATGACTACAGACAAAAGGGACCATTACATCAAAAAGTGTTAGCAGAGAGAAGTCTACAGTACGGACCATTCAAAAAAAAAAAAAATAAAAAGAAAATATAAATTGTATGGAAAACAAAGGTTTTGATTCCAGTACCATATGTGCCCTTGGTCAGTGGCTGATAATGGACTTGTAGTGAGAAGCTGCTTTTGCCACTGCCTGTGCAGTGTCTGGAATATTTCTGACCCTAGTGAAATCTAGGCTGGAGATGTTGCAGCAAGGTAACAACCTGATGTGGTAACAAGCAGTGTGGGGAGGAAACAACTGTGAGTGCGCAAAATAGTCAGAGATCCTTAGGGACAAAGAGAGTTACCATACCTCAAAATGCTGCAATATCTCAAAATGCTTTGCAAACAGCGGGAACTATCAACAGGGGAAGAAAGGTATGAGGTACTGCAAACCGGTGCCAAGCATCCCATGTCCCAACACGAATTTCAGGAGCTCCACGCCCCTTAAAGGTAAGCATGGCTACTAAGTAAAATCGGGATGATGACCTACATCCTTTTCCTGGATGGTGCACTCCTTGCAGTAGTAGGCGTCAGACACTCCCGGGCCCCCGCAGATCACGCAGCGCCCTTGGTACGAGCCGTAGTTACACTCGTCGCAGATGCGCACCAGGGTGCAGGGCCGCACGTAGGAGTCACAGATCACACACTTGCCATCACCTGCAAGCACAGCAGAGCCTTTGGTTACGGAATGTCCTTTTCTCCACCCCCACATCGAAGAGAAAAAGCTTCCTAGTGAAAGAACTCGCCTGTACACTCAAAGACAATACCACTGAACTGCAGAAATTTATCTTGTACAGGGCACAACCTTGTATTTGCGCTAAGACTTGAGAGGAACAGGGGGCAGTAGCCTACAACATTTGAGGCTTTTTAAATTTATTCATACATTCACAATCAGAGAAGAAAACCAAAGTTACTTCTTTGTGATTAGCCAACACTTGCTTTGATCATGCTACTACTTTTCCTGAATTTTTCACTTGCAAAAAAAATGCTGGACTGGCAAGACTAGTGTCCTTACATACACAGAAGCAGCAGTGTAAGCTACTTCCACAGTGCCACATCAACAAAAGTATGGAGTTATTGTCCTCAAAGAGATAAGAGACTGTACTCATGGTCCCTTTAATCCTTCATCCGTGAGAAGGCCAAAGAAAGGGCAAGCTGGCATAAACAGCCATTTCACAGAGTTGCTCTTGCTCTCTCACAAGGAACTGGGTGAAATTCAAGCACTCATATCACACAGGCAAGGAGCCATCACATGCCACTGCCACTTTCTGCTGTGTTGGGCCTTATCCAAAACACTGACCTATGGATGAAAAGGCTTCATATCCTATTACCAGTTCCCAAGGTATCTAATCCTGACTCCTGCAAACGGCTCACCTAACCTGCTCTTAAATCTCCAGCATGACAGCCCTCAGCTATTACCAATGGGAATCTGTTTCACTGCCAGGCACTCTTGAAAATGATCTTTTGCTTGACTGTCCTTTTCGCACTTTACTACTTTCATACTACTTTTGAGTCGCAAACCACTGACCTTATGTCTTTTGTTCCCCCACAAGGATATAACAACAGATCTTTCTTCCCTTTTACAGCTGAGCACTGGCATTTGATTCTGTGGGGTTTTTTTTCCTGCTCTAACTTTAGAGGTTCTCCATCCATTTTTTCTTCTACAGACAGAAAGAAGAACGTTTCTCGAGGTATGATGAAGCCATTTTTAACCCCTGCTTTAAAATGATCAGGCTGATATTTCTGCATTATAGATATACAAGGACCCATTCAAGCAGTCACCACAGCCTCAGCCACTGGAAATGCTGGCAGTACATACCCTAGGACTGCATTTGCGTTTTGAGCTCATAATTTTTTAAGTATTCCTTCAGTTTCACTTGCAACATGCAAGTAATTCTTCCCACCTCAAAGAATAACATCAAGTTTGTGGTTAAAGCAAAAACAGAATAATCCGACCTCTGAATCCAAACTGCATATTCTAACCACAGCACTATGCTCTCAAGCAACTATATGTTGAAGCTATACTTACATTTTTCACAAAGTCTTCCAATTGCTGTTAAAAAACAAAAAAGAAAAAGAAGAAAAAAGTTATTTGAGGCAGAAGCAGGACAAAAATCTAAGTAACTACAGAGCTTGAATGTCAGAGTTATCTTCTGCAGTGATCAGGTAAACCACAGAAACAATCTGAGCATAAATACAAACATATTTATAATAAGCAGTACATATCGTGCTAGAGACATTTACCAAGATCAAAGTTTCGATGCGCTGTGAACGCACAATGACACCCATTGGCAGTACGAAAACCTACATTCAATATTCCATTTCAAACACAGCCAATGTGCCTGACTGAAGGAAATCCTGTGCAAGAGTCTTGGCATAGCTTTTACACCGGTTTAAATGGGAGGAAAAAAAAATAAAATCAAGTGTTTATTTAAGGCAGCCAAAATAGCCTTTTACACTTCCAAACATGAAAGTAGTTATATGTATCTTAGAAGTCTTGTCACTTGTGTAGGAAACTCACAACAATGGTGTTAGGAACTTGGATAAATGTCATAAATATCAAGTTCCAAAGACCAGATGTCCAGATTCACAAAGAGTAAACAGTAACTCAGCTGGGGTCTGGGAGACAAGGGATTTGTCAGAAGATTAATTTTCAACACAGACAGATTAGGTTAGAAGGACTGAGTGTTCTAAAAGGAGGTTTCCTCTGCACAGTGCTGCCGAATATTTTGTGTTTACAGATCTCGCAGAAAAGCTGCTTCTTAAATATGCTTTTCCAAGGAGCGACGAAAACCTGCAAGGGATGCCTCGACTTCTAATTTTCTATAAGAGTTCTTTAAGACTCAACTGGGCAAATTCTGACCGAGAAGCGACAAGGATACATCTCCTTCCTTCAGGCATAACCTGGAAGACAACTTATCTCGCAGCCAGAAGGATGCTCCCAAGTGCTGCTGGAGCCATAACGCACGGCGGGGCAGGGAAATAAAACGAAAATAAAGCAGGGAAGGAGGGAGGGAAGGAGCGAGGGAAGGAGCCCCTCTCCCTCTCCCCTCCCCCACCGCCCAGGCCGCGCGCGCACCCAACGGCCGCTGACGGGCCCCACGCGCGCGCGCGCGCGCCTCCCGCTCGCCCCGCGGCGGGAAAAGGGGCGAGGGGACCCCTCCATCCCGTGCCCCGGGACCCACCGACGCCCGCCTGCTTGCGGCAGAAGATGAGGTCCGGGTGGTGCTTGGCCATGGCGAGGCGACACCCGCCCGACGCTGCTGCTGCCTCTGCCGCTGCGGCCCGCCGAGCGCTCACCGCCGCGCCGCCCCCGGGTCCTGGCCGGGGTGAGCCCTGCGCCTGACAAAGCACCGTCGCCGAGCAGATAAACGCGGGAGATTGCCGAGATAAATCCTCCTCTAGGGAGCCGCTCCGCCACCCGACTCCCCCCGCCCGGGGGAGCCCCGCATTGCAGCCCAGGACCCCCTCCCTGTGGCGGATGTGTCCCTGCCAGGACCCGCGCAGCCCCGCCCCCAGGCGCGCGCCGGAGCCGTGAAATGGGCCGCGTGACGCCATCGCGGCGCGACTCCATCTTTGTCAGTGAACAAAATGGCGCCGTACTGCGTGCTGGCGGCTCGGCTCAGGGTGAGCAGCGGCGCCCGGCGGGAGGGGCACCGGGCGGGACGGGCACTGGGCGGCGGGCGGGCGGCGGGGACAAGGGCACTGCCCGCCGGGTGACCGGGAGGGAGGCTGCCCGCAGCCTCCTGGCTGGGCCGGGCCGTCCCCGCCTCCGCGTGTAGGTCAGCGTGTCCCCGGCGCGGCCCCGCGCCCCGTTTCCATGGCGATGGCTGGGATGTCGCGGCGGCGGCGCGGCCGCTGCCCGAGCCCCGGGGCAAGGCGTCTCCCGCCGCTGGGCCCGGCCGGCCGTCAAGGTGAGCGCAAGGTGACCGGATCGGCGGGGACGCGGCCTTGGCGCCGCCGCCTCCTCGCCCGCACAGATCCCGCGGGGCCGGGGCCGCGACCAGAGCCCCGGGCCCAGCGGGGCGGAGAGCCCGAGGGCGCGGGGACGAGCGGTGAAATAAAAGGTCTTTCCCGGGGGCGTGCATTTTTCTTTCCTCGCCTTCAATTGCTTCCCCTTATCAGTGTGGGGCAGCACAAGGTGACTCCTTGTGCTGAGTGAACTATCTTTTGGCTACGTTGCTTCAAAAATCCTATTTTTAATATAAACAGAGGCCTCTGGGTGACAAAAATACCAGAGTCTCTATATAAAGGGGACCTAGGAAGGGTGGAAAAACAGATGGGACAGACACATAAACTACTGTATTTTTCAGGACAGTAATAATGTGTCTCACAGTCTTGTCTGTCATGACCTCTAAAACTCACATTTGCCTGTAATATGAGCTTGCCACAGAGGTTCCCTTCCTTGAGAGATTGCCGTGTTTGATATGTACTCAATAATAAAGTGTTCATAATGTTTTAAAAGACTGGAAGGCAAATATCAGGTGCAATATATTTTTTAGGGCTGCTAACAGGGATATGGTTGCTCCCCTTAGTGTAAAGCATGTGATAAGGGCAGGCAGTGTAACTTCTCAGTTTCCCACTTGTGACCTTGGTCAGTGTGTTCCCTTTTCTTAGGGAGCCAAAGTAAGAGCGTGTTTGGCTTTTAGTATTCTGAAAGTACTTTGTGAATCTTAATTCTGTTTTTTTATTACTTCCTTACTTTAGAGGTAGGTGTTTTAGAAAAGTATAGATTTGGGTGTTTTTTAATTTAAACAAAAGTCACAGAATAGCCCCATTTCAAATATAACTTGGTATAGTTGTTCTTAGTTGTTAAATAGCTTCTAGTTTGTACTTTGAACAGAAATGACTACTCATAAAATGAAGGCAAATCTTTTATTAGGGTAATGAATTGGTTCTCATTTTATGGTGTGGCACTGCATGAGAACAAGCAGTCATTTGCTAAAAATAATATGGTATAATGTAAAACAAAGGCTGTGCTGACACAGTCAGTATGAGGAATTTAGTGTTCTGGGAGGTTGTCTTCTGTTACCAGGCTCAGGGTGCATGTTTTGTTTCCCCCCTGTGAAGGACTAAATCTGTGGCAATCAAACGTGCCTCTAGGTGACCTCTTAAGGAGGCAAAATTTTTTTTGTCCCCATGTAGCTGCCTAGAGGTTAATGAATATGAGCATCATCTTGCCAGTCACTGTGATAGTGCCAGCATTGACCATGACACACGTTATTAACATTGATTCTACCCACCTCCTGTCCTGGAACTGTTTTGGAACTGGAGCTGCATAGAAAGCTTCCCTCTGAGGGAAATAAATTGGAATTAACCCGACTTGGACTGAATGTCCTACTTAAAGTATAGTTCTAATAGCCTGAAAGGGTCAAGATCTTTCTCCTGCCTATCTGAGATAATGCTTTTAGGAGCATTCCATTTCTCAAGCCACATCGGCTGAGAATTGACCTAAAGAGAGGAGTGTAAAACTCTTAAATTGCCTGAAATATCAGCAGTTTATTGAAGACGTGGTAGATAAGTACTGAAATTCTGTATGGGTAGCTTTGTGTGTGCTGGCAAAAATCAGCGTTGGCCTGGGCTAAACTGGTCTTCAGAACCATAATTGTGGTTGCTCTTCGGAGGTGGATCTAGAAAATTAGACTGCATTTACAACTTGATTATACCACTCTGCTTTTCTTTTTAGGCTGAATCGTGGTGAATGTTGGAAACTTGGCCAGAGATCGTAGATCAGGGAGGATGAGAAAAGATGGTATTTTGGGTTTCAGCTGGGATTTCTAGGACTGATTTCCCAGATAGAAGTGTAGGTAATGTGGTTGCTACTCTTTTGAACATGAGCTTTTGCTTACCGGACTTGTCTAACTTACTGGCTGCCAAAATGCAAGTTAGTTTCTGAATTCAGACTCCTCTTGCATCTGGGCCATTCACTGTATTGAGCTAAATGCAAGATAACTAGGTTGAAATCTGTAAAGAGAAGTGTTGACTTCCTGACAGAGACTTCAAAAATCATGACCCATTTAATAGGCTGGCTTTCTTGTGTCTTTTAAGGAAGCTTTTCACCTGGTAAAACACCAGTAGGCTTAGGAGCCCTGTAGTGATCACTGCCATTTCTTTTACTGAAACCTGAACACGGACATTCGTATTGGGATAACGGATTCAATGCCAGATGAGAGGAGATCACTTGGCAGCTGTTTGGTCAGCCTGGAAATTCCTGTATAAAAGGGAAAACGTATAGATTGCTGGCTGCCTATTTCCTTTGGCTGTTGGTTGCAAGGTGCTTCTCACTACTCTGTATAAAACACACCATGGAAGCCTCCCAGTGCACTACTACGTTCCCTCTCACTCAGGGAAGAGTGAGGGGGAATGAAGCTGGGAACTGTTAGGCTTGTGACTTTTCCTTTATCTTGCAGTTCTGCCAAGATGAAGTTCTGCCAAGTTCTGTTTCTGAGGATGCAATGGATAAAAAACCAGGCAGGGAGAGTAGACAAGTGTGATGAGTGATACATTGTGGATTCGTTATGAGGAGAGATCAGACTTTTGAACCAGGCAGTGTATGCTGTTTACTTGGTGATGGTGGTGGAGCCTCAGGCTTGCTGGGCATCAACATGAGAACAACCATATTGAATCAAGTTAACTTCCAGCAGAGGAGAGATATGGGATTAGATTTACATCCCAGTAAAATGAAGATAGCACTTTTTTAATAGGTCTTTTAAAAAAGTCTCGTGTAGACAAAAGTGATTCTCTAGTCTCCTGAAACTGATTGGCCTAGGTGATGAATTTCCCCAAGTCTTACTGGCCATTACAGAAACACACCTTCAGTTTTCCTGACTTCTCTTGCCAATTTCCGTGTCCAGACAGAATGCTTTACCTTAAACAAGTTCCCTTCCTGCTTCTGGTAGCCTGCAGTTGTGGTCAAGCAGAAGTCAGCTACTTTGTAGTGCTAATTCTGTGTGTACCAGCTGAGTATTTATTTAGTATTTGAATAAATACTACATTTCATTGTGCTGTTTTGTGAAATAAAAAGATACATAGGCATGTATGTTCAACTGAAAGGATTCTACCTCAATTTTGTTTGAAAACTCCCTTTGTAGCTCTTTTTGGAGACCTTGCTTCAGATTTTTATTATAATCTACTTTGGTCCCAGGCAAGACTAAGATGATATGAGGCCACTGCCATTACTTTAGCTTGCATATCTGTTCTTTTGTATGATGAAGTAAGAAGAAATTACTGCATTAAACCAAAATATATTTCCTGGTCTGGGCAAGAAATTATTTTTCCATGAACAGTGATTAAATCTCTCAGTGTTTTTTCCAGCCACTTTAGCACTTGGAAACTTTCATGAGACAATGGATATCTTGTGAGGTAAAGACATTTCCACAGCATTAACCGTGCTGGGTAAATACTTAAGTTAGGGGGGAAAAGGCAGAACAAAGTAAACATAAAATTAAGTGGCTACCAGATAAAGTTCAGCTTTACCTAGTAGGTGTGTTAAACAATGAAAAGCTGGGTGGTGTCTGATGTGGTTTGGTTGTTGTTTGGGTTTTTTTGTATTTTTTTGTGCTGGTGGAAGAACAAAATGTCTCAAGTCTGACACCTGTGACAAGTTCTGGAAGCTCTGAGCTTAAAGTGCAGTACAGTGAAATTTGATGACTGGGTTTCCCTTGCACTCCTGGAGGAGCAGTGCCCTCTTTGTACCGCCAGGTTCACATTCTTCAGATATTCTTTCATGAAAATAGTGTGTAGCTGCCGTAGGTCTGTACTGCTCCTACCAAAAGCTGTGTGTATAATGGCTCAGGATCGTTTGGGAAAAATGCAAATGGCACCCTTACTGCCAGTGTGCTGGCTACTGTGATCTCACCTAGCTTTCCTGAACTTCTTATTGTGAAAGATGCTAACAAATGTCATCAAAAGGACAATAAAACAAGAGACTTGGCTGAAAATTGGTGATGTCTCATTGATTGTGATTATTTTGGGCAATGTTCTCAATGCTGGTAACAAGAAAATTGGTAAAAATATC